GGGGTTGTTTTGGTAAATGTTTTGCGGCCCTCACAACTGCATAAGGTCATATGAATATGAGCACGTGAGACACATTAGACATTTTCAGTTTGCTAGGAATTTATTTTGAATTTTGCCCGATTGGCGGCTGAAGCCTACTCTTTTTATCGATTTTGGACCACCAAGGGATCTTTAACGTGCGCAACTTGCACAAGGAACCTCCGGGATATTTTGCACTTATCGGAGAAGGCTAGGTGTTAGATTTTACCTACCTTATGATCATAGGTGTGGCTGAAAGACAGCAATAAGAAGGAGCCAAGGAGTAGCAGTGGAAAGGCTGCAGAAAGAGTCAGAATCCCAGAGGAGGGGGCAAAGGGCAGGGGGGAGGGCAGTAGGTGGAGACGAAAGCAGAGGACAGAACATGGTTAGCGAGCTGGAAAGAAGGTGGAGGGAGAACATTTTAGAGAAGAAAATTTTCAATCGCTGTCACGTTTCGAACCGTGGACCTGTTGAATGAGAGGTGAACACGGTAACCTCTAGGCCACGAGAGCCCCCTGGCAGGTTATGTGTATGTAGTAGGTTTGGTGTCCTCTCAGACTTTTGTCCCACTCTACATTATGTAGGCTAGGTCCCTCTGTGCTGCTTTCTCCCTTACTCTTGACTCATTCTCCAGTTAGTTCCTTCTTACTGCTGTCTTTGAGCCATACCCCTGATATTAGGGTAGGTAAGATCGGACACTCAGCCTTCTCAAATAAAGTTGAAAAATCTCTTTGGTCTAGTGGGCAAGTTGTGCAACAACAAAAATCTTTTGGTGATCCTAAAATCAAAAAGAATATGCTTCAGTTCGGCTGCCACCAGGCAAATTTCAAAATAAATTTTTACCAATACTGAAAACACTCAGGTCAGTGTAAAGAATATACCGAGTATCTTTGAAGTCGGAATGTGGCAACCTTAAACTTAAGGAAAGGGGCTCTATGAAGTAGGAAAAATGGTCACATTTACGTAAAAGTCAGGTACACTACAGGTTGAAGAACCTAAAGTTGACTACCCCTATGATCTAGCAGGGGAACACAAAGAAGAAAAAAACACATAATGTAGGTCATTGAGAAATAAAGAGCTTCTACCCACCACCAGGATGCCATGTTGAAAGCTTGAACATTACCTAAAAGTTTGGACCATCCATTGGGTGAAACCCCCAGACTGTAGAAGACAATAGTTCAATCCCAGCTTGTGAAGGTGTTTTTTTTAATAGATTATCTTTATCATACTGATCTTTATCACAGTCCCTCCCCCACCCTCTTACCTCCTATCTCCTACTTACCCCCCTCCCCCTTCCCCCTCTCACCAGTCACCTCTTGGTGATATATGAGAAGTGGGTTTTTTTCTGTAAATTTGTCAAACAGTCCCCTCAGTGAGAGTGGGGCGAGAGGTAATGACATAATAATTTAACAGAAATGGATTCTGAAATCCGCAATCCACAACAAATTTATGAAAAAATGCAGTGAAGAGGTGCCTGTACATATATCAACTTGTCAACTGAATAGATGCTTAGACTTGATTTAAGATTTTTGTTTTTTGCTTTTTGCTTCTCGTGTAGTAACCACATATAGCACTAGGCCTCCACTTTTATCTCTCTTCCCTCCTTATTTAAAAAAACCGTAATTAGCTTTCAGGTCTGTTTCTAAAATATTTGGTGGGGTTATTTCTTCTGAAAAAATAACATGATTTCTTTCTTATTCCTCTTTTCTTCACAGTCCTTGAAGTTCCTGCAGTCTCCAGATTTCAAGCCTTTTGTCATTTTCATTGCGGCCCCTAGTGTGGAAGCTCTCAAAGTTATGTACAATGAGGGAAAACGTGTCAATAATAATGTAAGTGTAAAAATTTTCTTATTGTTTAAACCTGAATGTGTTTTGATACTTTCATTCTGTGAAGTAGTTTGTTAGATGCTATTTTACTTTGTTTGATAACTAGAAAATGCTTTTGTGATAATGTTTCTATATGTAGAACTGATAACAATTATCATTTGTAAAAATTGCCATATATTCAAGAACATAATAATATGTCGTTACAGGGAGTTTAGCTGAATTGCATTCTGTTGTATACTTTTTACAAAATTGGTCACTGATAAATCAGCAGTTATATACGGTGGAAAAAAGAATGAAAATGAGGAATGTGGTCGAAATCGTAAGCATGAATTAGGGTAAGAGATTTTTTTTACATTTTAGTGTTTGGTTATGTTGAAAATTATAGTTGAAATGTTATATGAGCAGGGAAATGAGGACATGGTAGTGATGGTTTGACAGACTTTAGTTTTACCTGCTAATAGAAATGGGTTGCTCAGTTTGTGAGTGTCAGTTATTTATGGAACATTGTACAGTTGAATCTGCCTTAATTAATGATCACTTTTCTATAGCAGTCAGTTGTACTAATGGCCACAGTCAGTCATTTTTGTGACAAGTCAGTCTCAAAACTTGCTTATAGCAGTCACTTGCTTCAAAAGTTTACCACCAGCCTGTCCTCAGACTAAGTGTGTATGTGTACAATCAATGTAAAGAAATTCTTACTCTAATGATAGAAATCAGTTTGGATGGAAATGAAATGGAAACATAAAATCAAGATTTCAGATTCTAAACCACCTGTTGACTTTGTCTAGTTAGTGACCTAAACTCAGACCCTGTCCATATTGGTCACCTGTCAATGACAGTCACTGTATTCTGTGATCTTGAGTGACCATTATGGGCAGGTACAACTGTAATAACTTTAGCCACAAATTGCTTCACCTTTCTCTGTCTATGTTTCAACTTTTTAAAAATCCATTTTGGCAGATAAACTTAACTGTTTTAGTACACCATCTCCTTTCTCCTCAGGCCAGGAAAGCTGACAGTCGGGCAGAACTCTTTTTGGTAAGTACGTGTACGTGCATACAGAATATGGGATTCAATAAGCCTTGTTGTAATGAATCAAAGCATATTGTATTATGCAGACTCAGTGATCATGGGCATGACAAGATGAATCAAAAGCGTCTTTCAATATATGGATTAGGATTAGATGTTTGTGAGTCTGTTGTAGTGAATCTAAGCATATTTTGCTATAGTGGCTCAGACGGTTTGGGAAAAGGTCTTTAATACATTTAGACAAGTGCTTGCCAACCAGGATGATATCGTCAACTAATGGACAATTTGGTAATTTTGGTGGGTGATGGAGTTGTGACAAGTATTATTTAATGCCTGATTTAGAAACACATATAAGTGGGTGATACAAAAATGTTAGCTTTTTGAGGTAGCAAAAGCGGACGCTGGCTATAAAAAAGGTTGATAAACATTGGGTTAGACGTAGCTCAAAGATATAAACTTAAGGGGTGTACTGATTGTAACTGATCTACCAAGCAGACTTGGCAATGGTTACTGTGCTCTGCTTTTATGTTTTAGGGTAAGGGATGGAAGATAAATGTGTTTAGGTTACGGTGGAGGTTTGCAATGACCACAAAGCACTCTATTCAAATTCCATGAAGAATAGTCCTGCTGATGTGTTGAGGGAAAAAAAGTCTTTTGAGGCTTGTTGGGGAAAAAAGTCTTTTGAGGCTTTTGTTTAAGAAGTAAGTTCTGAAGAACAATTTTATGTTTGTTGTTTTCTCTACATTCTATTGAAATTTTGATGTATTGTTTAATAAAAAAAAAAAAAAGAAAGAAAAAAATTATTCTCAAACAAAAAGACTTGGCCTATAGTTGTATTTTGCTGGGCTGAAGGGCACACACTCAAAGGCTACTGGAATAGCAACATCAAGTACTGTTATGGGCACCTTTTGTGCTCCCTCCCCACTTCCCCAACCCTCCACCCACCCCCCACACCTCCACTGATTCCATTGAAACTGTTTGCTCTTTGTCATCTGCAGGAGGAGGTATTCATCCGTACAGTCAGAGATAGCCAGGAGATGGAACGACAGTACAAGGGCATGTTTGATGAGATGATCGTCAACGACGACTTTGAGACGACTTATCGTACCGTTGTTAAGATGATGAACGAACAGCTGCGACAGCACAAGTGGATCCCTGTGGAGTGGAACAACTAACTGGCGAGACTCATCCACTTTTGTTGCACCCTCCATACAGATGTTACAGCCTTATTGTTATAATTAGCATTGAGTCAATGCCATACATATTATTATTACTACAAATGTAAAGAAAAGATGGTTGTGAGAACTGAGCTATGATGTGAAAGTGATCATTATTGACAGGCAGCAAATTGCATATCATATTTCCCCTCTGGTACTTGTGTGAGCAGAACAAATGATGGCAGAGTATCGATTTTTTCGGACTTTGAACTTTGGAGGACTTTAAGTCTGAATTGATAGCTTTATTATGGTAATGGTGTTGTTTCTGTACTCTCTACAGTAAGATTGATGTACTGGTTTTTTACTCTTATCCACTGGCCCCGTAGCAGTGGCTATTTGTTTTTTTCCACCTGTATTCTCCTCCGTTATCGTGATTGTAAAACGGTAAAAACGTCTATGAAGTCTGTTGGTCTAGGCCTACTGTGTACCACTTCACCTTTCGTCATTGATTTCACAGTTTTTGGGTTTTTTTTCATTTTGGTCTTTTGAGATATTTGGCTGACTGAGGGGTTAATTCGTTGAGGAAGCATAGTCCGGTCCTTTGGCAATGCTTGAAGATTCACTGTTATAGAGCACTTTTTTAAAAAAGAAGCATAACTTCGTTTTACTTATACTGAATTTCAATTCTGTTTTCTTTATTAAACATTTTTTAAAAGACAAGCAACAGCATGCTTACTATGAAATATATGCAAATTCGTGTTTCTGATTTATGATGGCTTGAATTGTGCCGAAACATTGCGGTTGGTCTGCCTCTGATCGGACATATATATGTCTACTTCATCCTTATAAAGTTGAATGATGTGGAAAGGGAATTATCTATTTTACATGAGGCGGGACAAAACCAAATTGTTGAAAAAATCACTTTCTCTTATATATTTTCTTAAAACTTCATCTTGATGTCTTACATGTTGTGGGAAATTAACCATTATCATTCAGTAGAAATACTCTCTCTCTCAAAAATCCCAAACAAAAGGTTAAGGGACTGATACTGGTAGGCCCTACATGTTGCCACTGGGCGGTTGGTTTTCTTTGATCCCACTCGAACAAATCCCAAGTAAAGGACTGATTATACTGATTAGTACTTTTAGTAAAAAGGAACCAGGACAACTAAAAGCAACTACTCTTCCATAAATACCATCTTTACTCGAGTGGTATGTAGTTATTCATATTATTTTAAAATTGGAATATGATGAAGATTTAAAGAAATTCTCTTGATTTAGCCGAATTTTAAACACTTTTACCCAAATTTATATTTGCTGAAATACTGAAGAAATTTCTTTCATTATTGCAAAAATTAGTTACAAGATGGTTTTTAACAATTCTCTTCTCTTGCCTTTTAATTTGCCCCTGTGATTTTATCCATTCTTTACTGAAGACTGCCAGTGATCTGTATCAGTCGTCAATAGTTACTCTAATATTTCAGAGCAATAGAAAAGATTTTAACTCAAGATTTTTCTCGTTGGAAATTTACCTTGAATCTTTCTGACCATTGTGGCAAAGAATTTGTAACATTGAAGTGAGCTTGGACATCCATTGATGAACACTAGGATACTGGGATATTATTGAGAGTTAGATAAGCTCTTGTGGTGCTTTGATGAGATTTTTGCTTCTCATCAGTTGTTGTTTTTTTTGGTTGTGAAATTCTGCTTCTGACACTCAACTCAAGAAGATTTTCACAGCTGTATCATATAGATATCAATAGTGTCTATCATTATATTTAACACATTGAACAAAACTTAATTAAAATTCTCTGCAAATGCTTCTCAGCTACTCATTAGACTTGTTTTTCTTGCAACTTTGTCATTTTTCAGTTTAGATATTTGTTCTGTTTATTTTTGCTTTTTTCTTTGCACTATTTCATAGTTTTGATATTATGCTTGACTTGAGAACATTGTCCCGTTTTTCTTCATTGGTCTCTTTTCTCTCATGACACGATCTATACATAATGAAATGTTCCACACAAAGTGGGGCATTTTGCTGATCAAAATGATCTAGATGTAAGGGTGTCATTAAACTGCACGTAAGTGGGCGCTTATCATTTAAGAGTTTTATTTAATGAATGTGAGTATGTCTCATTTGTTTAATTTATTAAACAATTTTAAGAAGTCAGTTAATTGTCAGTGCTCACTGTTGAATTACCGCCTGTCTTGCAGGTTGGAGAGGATTCAGACAGGCTTCTTTGTGTTAAACTTACACAGTTGTAGATTGCTTAGAATTTCAGGACACAGATTTCGTGCCCCCCCCCGAACCTTTTCCCATTTCATAAAGTAGATATTGGTTATCAAATGTTTCAAGATGGAAAAATCAAGTTAATACAGGGCCTCACAATTCTTATATTCAGTTACGTTCCTGGTGGGTTATCAGCTTCCATGATTGTTTTCCTTTTTGGCAAGGGATTGAATTTTCTGTTTTCCTTTTACTGAGAACTTCATATACCATGCACACAGTAGTAGAACCAGAGGCAGGTAGTAGCTGTACTGTTTTAGATTACTAAAGGCTTGTTTTCATTTCCTGTAGCACCTGAATTTGAACATTCAACTTGCCTGTCATTTTAAAATCTTTATATTTTGAATTATGTTGGATTGTGTTTCAAAAATGGATTTAGTCTATTTATTAGTGTGTTTTGAGTCATTTCATCTTTTACTGTTGTAAAAATGTACTAAGATCGGAGCAAGCTATTTTATCCATTGCGGATCTGACTTATTCCTGGTGATCAGTTTGTTTCTTAAATAAGTACAGACACGAAAAGATATTTTTAACATGGCACTGTATCAGTTTCATATATTTGTAGTAATGGGCTTTCTGTTTTTGAATTGTGATCTGAACTTTAGCCCAAATATGTTTATTTTTGCTTACACTTCACTTTTTATGCAATTTATAACGAGGGCTGTTGTAACTATTGACAAGAACTAGAACATTCCTAACACACCTTTAAAAATGATTTGTTTCTCATTGTAAATGAAGAAATATATCAATGCCATTCCAGTTTTCCTTTGTAATATTTATGTATTGTCCTTATGTGATATTTACACTCTCTGTAAATTTGACTATAAAGGTTCATTCCGCGATACGCAATATATTACCTTTAACATAAAGGGATGTTAGCCTGCTCCCTCTTGATTTTATTCTCCAGCTTAGCATTTTTTTGTAAATATATATATAAATGCTTCTGTTCAGCGTGGCAAACCAGTTTGACATAGCCCCACAATGAGTTGAAAACCTACGTGAAGTTGTCTTATAGCCATACGTATCTGCTTTCTAGTTTTTCGTACAGCTAGCTGTATATAGTTAATGGGGGATAAAAAGTCTACATAACAAGAGGGGCCACTTCTCTCTTTGAGCCAATTAAAAAAGTGTCCTCAAAATTCGGTGGCGCCCTCTTCGCAAAAGCGCACCTTTATCGAACAGAGTTATCCTACTTGAGTTTAAAAAATCAAAGTGAAACTAGCAAGTTTTTTAATGAATTTCGGAAGAACGCTTTTTAAAAATGGTAACGCTGACAAAAAAACCTCTTCCGGAGGAAAGGGTGATTGTTTTCTTCGTTTAATTTGACTTTAGTATGAAAGGCGAGAGGTCATTAAAATTTGTTAAAACTAAAACTCTGTACTGAACGAACCCGAACTGCTGATGAACAGCAGTCGATCTGCGCACGCAAGGAGGTGCTATTCCTATTCTTCTTCTGGAAAAACGAAAGAGAGCTTCAAAACAGACTGCAGTGCCATCTGAAGCAAAGAGCATACTTCTTGCGGACACTTTTTTGGCTGAGTGGCCCATCTTGTTATGTACTATCTTTGTAGGGGATACGCTTTTCGTCCCACCCAAACATTTCCATATTTTCATTTTGTCATCTTTTTTTGGCATTATGTGAATGAGATAGAGGCCAAGGAATGAAAATAAATCTTAGCAATAAAGTGATATGTTATACCCAATGGTGAACTATAGTGCTTTGTTTGTTTTATTTCGATGTCTTATGTGTTGCTTTTTTTCTTTGACTCAAACACCAGGCTTGTCAACTGTCCTGAATTTCCTTGAGCTCTCCAAGATTTGGCTATTCAGGGATTTAAGAGAACACTTTAGTCTTCACCGCTGCAATGGACCAAATTTCAAGCTTCTATTCTGGAGTTTGTTTGCTATTCCCATTTTACTTTGATGAGGGGACTATCTGCTTATTTTTAAATTTAGCGTAACAAATTTTTACTTTGACCATATTATTAACACATACACTACACCAAACCTAGTCCCCTTGATGTCATTTATGTGTGTGCCGAAAGAAAGGTACCAAAAGTCGCCACAGACCATTTTGAGCTACAGGCTGATAAAGACAAAAAATCACTTTTTTGACCATAATTTGTTTCCATTTAAAATGATAGGTCCACCATTTCTAAACTATTTGTTAAAGGAGTTTTTATTGATTTGACTTTTAAATATTTTGATTTGAAATATTTTGAAGGTAGGGTGTGTTTTAAAAAGATAAAGAAAACTGCTTTTAAAAGGTGATAAAATCTTTTCAAGTAGCACGTTTTCTCTTCCCCGCTATGTTTTACCATTGGATTCTAATAATGTTATAGATGTCAACTAAATGGTGAATTGGAAATGAATTTTCCATGACTAGATACTTAATTAGAAACTATTGAATCATTTTTTTTAAAAGTTTGTATGTGTTCTAAACTTAAAAGCTAATTTTCTCAAAATTAGATTTTTATACCCTACCTCGTTTTTTGTCTCTCCCGTAAAATTTAAAAAACATGACTTACCATAGTTTACTTGGCAGCCCTCGACATTGTCTGAGACAATCTGAGATTATAATATTGGATGTTTCTAATTGGGTTTTGAAAATGTTGGGAAGCCTGTAACACCATTATGAAACACAGTGTAAACAATTTAACTGAAAAGATAAAAGGGACTATAATGGCATGCGGTCTACGTATATAATATTGCATGTTCATTGGCTTTTCATACTTCAAACAACTGTTGTGCTTGTACAAAAAAACAAACAAAGAAGAAGAACTCCCTTCTCTCACCATTCTAAACACACACACACACACACACA